CCCACCCCGTCCGTCCATGGGACAGTGGTCATGTCACTGTCCCCACCCCGTCCGTCCATGGGACAGTGGTCATGTCACTGTCCCCACCCCATCTGCAGAGGGGACGGAGGTCATCAGAGTAGCCCACCTGCCCCCACCCGTCCGTCCATGGGACAGTGGTCATGTCACTGTCCCCACCCCGTCCGTCCATGGGACAGTGGTCATGTCACTGTCCCCACCCCATCTGATAATGGGACAGTGGTCATGTCACTGCCTCCCATCCCGTACCCCATCCGTCCATGGGACAGTGGTCATGTCACTGTCCCTACCCCATCTGTCCATGGGACAGTGGTCATGTCACTGCCCCCCCATCCATGGGACAGTGGTCATGTCACTGTCCCTACCCTGTCCATCCATAGGACAGTGGTCAAATCACTGCCTCCCATCAGTCCATCTATGGGACATGTCACTGTCCCCAACCCATCTGTCCATGGGACAGTAGTCATGTCATTGCTCCTTGCCTTCATCCATCCATGGGACTATGGGTCATGTCACTGTCCCCACCCCATCTGTCTATGGGACAGTGGCCATGTCACTGCCCCTTGCCTTCATCCATCCATGGGACAGCAGGCCATGTCACTGCCCTCCATCCGTCCATGGGACAGCAGGCCATGTCACTGCCCTCCATCCGTCCATGGGACAGTGGGCCATGTCACTTCCCCCCATCCGTCCATCCATAGGACAGTGCCATGTCACTGCCTCCTATCCACCCATGGGACAGCAGGCCATGTCACTGCCTCCCATCTGTCCATGGGACAGCAGGCCATGTCACTGCCCTCCATCCGTCCATCCATGGGGCAGCAGGCCATGTCACTGCCCCCCATCTGCCCGTCCACGGGACAGTGGGCCATTTGATTCCTTCCTTTTTGAATCGTCTCATTATAACTGTAAGACGTGCTCTTCATTCCATGGTCACAGCAGTGAAAGGGCAAGACGTGGACGTGTTTAGGAAGTGACCAAGTGGGCAGTGGAGCCATCTGTCTGCACAGTCCTGGAGCCCCGAGCTCTGGGGGGGAGAGGCTCAGCCTCCGAGGAGTCCTCCAAGGATGAAGTCAGAGCTGCACCAGGCAGGAGAGCCCTGGAGGTGGACAGAAGCCGGGTCAGCACCCTGAGCATCCCCTGAGCATAGGGGAGTGGGGCCATAGAGGGTGAGCAGGCAGAGACGGCCATTGTGACCTGGAAACGAGAGTGGCCATGCCGATAGATGATGGGTGGCCGGGAGGGGAAAGGAAGACACAGATTTAAGAAATGCTTGAAATCGTGAAAAACGGAGGACTCAATGTTGGACATGTGGCCAGTGATGGGCACAGCAGTGGAATTTCAGGGACCCAGAAGTGACAGCTCGGAGCAATGACCCAGGGTGTGTTCCGGAACCAGAGGCTCAGGTGCGGCGCCTTGGCTGGAAGTGGCCCTTCAGTCCTCCATCCGCCCCCCCTCACACACCCCATGTTGGACCCTCGCCTGCGCCACGCCGGGGAACTGGACTCCCTGGGAGAGACGAGGACTGGGCAAGGGACGCTCCCTCTCTGGGGAACACGGCCTGCGCTGGGGAGGCACAGGAGTCCAGGCATGGTCCTGAGAAAGGACACACACCGGGGAGGAAGACTAAGGGAGGAGGTCAACAGGAGCGTGTCCAGGGACGTGGGACTGAGGACAGGAAGGTTGTCCAGGATTCGATGGCCAGGAACGGCCCCATAACTCCAGGGACACCTTGCAGCAGGAAGGGGCTGGGGGGGTGGGGGGCGCTGGAGGGAGGCTCTCTGGAGAGGAGGCCTGGGGCTGAGTTGGGAGGAGCGTTGTCACAGTGAGAGCCGAGCCGGGCACAGGAGCAGGCACAGGAGCACCCAGACACACATCCCGGGGGGAGACAGAGGGAGATGGAGCCCGGGCGCCTCCCCCACCCACTGCAGGGAGGCAGCTGGGTGAGGCCAGGGCTCCAGGAGATGGGGAGCAGAGTGGCCCTATCAGGGCAGGACTCGAGTGAGAGGCACCGTGGTGCCAGCCTGTCCAGCTGCCCTTGCCCAGGATCAGGAGCATACTGAGACTGCTGTCACTGGGCCACAAACTGGCTGCTGCCACCCCAGGTGCACACCCTCCCAGTGCTGCCGGCCCCAGAGCAAGGTGCAGGCAGACCTGGCTCCTCCCGGGCTCTGGGGAGCTCTGCCCAGCCGCTCTTCCCGCCCCCAGGGCCACCGCAGCCCTGGGCATCCTTGGCTTTAGACGCTGTCACTCCACCCCTGCCTGGGCCTCCACGCCCTCTCCAGTGTCTGTGCCCACCCTCCTCCTCACCAGGACACAGGTGCTGGGTCTGGGGCCCGCCCCAATCCTGGATGACCACACGAGCTCACGGCTTGAGGTTTGGTGGATGTGTCCTTGGAGGGACTGCCATTCTGTCCCTGTGGCACATTTGAGTTCTCAGGGTGGACAGGGCATCGGGACCATGATGAGGCAGGAGCTGCTGAGACAGGAGGTGGCAGGGGGACAACAGGACGGCGGGGGCAGGGAAGACAGTGGAGTCAGCATGGGCAGAAGTGGACCCGAGGGCGCAGGGCAGCAGCCGGTCTTGCTGGAGGAGAGCCCCGAGGAGGGCGAGGAGCAGGCATGGGGCCAGACGATGGTGGCGGCAGCCCTCCCAGACTGCTGCGGGGGAGGCAGGACTCCAGGCCAGGAGCTGCCTGGCCACAGGGCCCGGCATGCCCCAGCAGCTCCCGGGGCAAGACAGGAAGCGCCTGGACCCAGCTGAGAGGGGGAGCCGTGCCCCAAGAACCCAAGCAAGTGTGCGCACCAGCAGCACTAACGGCACTCGGTGTGACGGGCACCCTCAGCCAGGAAGCAGAAGCCGCCCTGTGCAGCTGCAGTGTCCCCCACGAGGACACCTGGACGAGGAATGCAGGGGGACACCGTGGGCTTGGGGACACAGCCCTGTGCATGTCTGCCTCGCTGCCCTGGGTACCCAGGTGCAGCGGGCGAAGGTTCCAGCTCTCTGTTCCGGGTCTGGCGGAGGTGCAGGGAGACAGGGAGCAGCTAGGACGGGAGCGCACCACGGACAGGCACGCGGTGCGGGCTGCGGAGGGCAGCGCTGCCCTCTGTAATGTGAGCTTCCTGCTTATGCCCTGGGCACCATCCTGGAAATGACGCACCGGCTGAGCTCACGGACCTCAGGGAGCCCGAAGCTATTTACGCTCTTAGCAGACACTTATTTGGCACTTAGCACGGAGCAGGCTCCCTTCTGTGTTAAAAGACCAGCCCACGCATCCTCGCGTCCTCGCGTCCTCGCAGAGGGGGTGGTGTGAGCTTTGCCCGCTCACAGATGAGAAGCTGGATCCAGGCCCTGGAGAAGCTTGCCTCGGGCTGCAGCTGGCCCCAGTCCCACCGGTTCAAGCGCAGGCAGGCAGACTGCAGCACCCAAACCCCTCGCCGCTGAGGCAGGGAGGGGCTGTGTACCAGGACACCCGCTGGTTCCCCAGGGGACTCTGAACTAACTGCAGCCAAACGCAGAGCCACATGCCCAGGTCTCCAAGCGCACGCTTCAGGCATGGCTGGATCTGGAAGTTCAAACACCACCATGAGCTGTCCCTGCTGTCCCCCACGCACACACGCGCCCCGCCTCTCTCCCTTGCCATCCCCACCCCTCCGTCCCCTGCAGGGATGTCATGGCATCTTACTCTCATCTCTGTCCAGCCCTCGGTACCATCTTCGCGTGTTCCCGGTTGTTAAGGGCTGACTGAGCACCCCCAGCCAGCAGTCGAGGGGAGCACTGACCCCTGGCCTAGCGTCCCCTCAGGCCCCCTCAGGGTGTGCAGCAGCCTCGGTGGTACCCCCATTAGACCCACTGCCACACACGGTCACGGCCCTGACTGTGGCCACCCCAGCAGAACCCCACGGAGGGTGTGGTGCGTTTCCCACAGGGAGGCCGCCCGGTGGGCCCCGGGCAGTAGCTGCTGACACCCAGGCCGCCCGTCTCCGCAGGGTGGTGAGCAGCTGGATCGAGAGGCGCCGGGTGCAGTCGGAGAAGGCCAACCTGACCATCCTCTTCGACAAGTACCTGCCCACGTGCCTGGACAAGCTGCGCTTTGGCTTCAAGAGGATCACGCCGGTGCCCGAGATCACCATCATCCAGACGATCCTCTACCTGCTGGAGTGCCTGCTCACCGAGAAGAACGCGCCGCCCGACTCCCCCAAGGAGCTCTACGAGCTGTACTTCGTCTTCGCCTGCTTCTGGGCCTTCGGGGGGGCCATGTTCCAGGACCAGGTGATGGGCGTGCCGGGACCCCGCTGCCCGGGCAAGGGCCAGCCCCCCTCTTAGCTGGGCCTTTCTTTTTTTTTTTGCGCTTTTGGTTTTTAACAGCTTATAGATTACCGACTCGAGTTCAGCAGGTGGTGGATCAATGAGTTTAAAACCATCAAGTTACCCTCTCAGGGAACAATTTTTGACTACTACATTGATCCTGATACTAAAAAGTTCCTGCCGTGGACAGACAAAGTGCCTGCCTTTGAGCTGGATCCCGACATCCCGCTGCAGGTAACCCCACGCAGAGGCCGAGAGCAGGGCGCCCGGACCCTCCCCACACATGCCCAGGCAGCCCGTCCAAACGCAACCAGTTTTCCCCAGCAGCCCTGTGATACGGGGAGTTCAGAGGTCTGAGAGCCGCGTGCCCTACTGTGCTCCCAGCCACTCAGGAGGCTGAGGCAGGAGGATCACAAGTTCCAAGCCAACCTCAGCCACTTGGCGAGGCCCTAAGCAACTTAGCAAGACCCTGTCTCAAAAAGAAAAAGAGAGCTGAGAACGTGGCTCAGTGGTCAAGTGCCCTGGGCTCAATCCCTAGTACCAAAGAGAAGAAAGAAGACTGTTGAGCTCTGCAGGCTAGTGAGAGGTAGAACTGGCTGGGTTTGTTGCCTGAGGCAGGCTCCCAACCAATCCCCTGTGCTCTGCTCCCCTCCTCTCCGCCCCAGGCCTCTCTGGTCCACACCACGGAAACCATCCGCATCCGCTACTTCTTGGACCTGCTCATGGAGAAGTCCTGGCCCGTGATGCTGGTGGGGAACGCGGGCACGGGGAAGTCGGTGCTGATGGGCGACAAGCTGGAGAGGCTGAGCACAGACGAGTACCTGGTGCAGTCGGTGCCCTTCAACTTCTACACCACCTCCGCCATGCTGCAGGGTGAGGTGCCCGCTGGACGCACTCTGCATGCTGCCCCCCGTGTCCTGTCCCACCTCCCTGCAAGCATGGGGTCAAGGGGAAGGCTACCGGTCCCCCTGGGAGCACCCGGGCCAGTCCCAGGGGGTGGCTCCAGCTTCCTGCCACTCCAGCCTCCCAGGGTTCTGTCTGCTCTGGGACTGGGGGAGCTGAGGCTGCACGCAGACCCCTGCCCGCCTCCCTCAGGTCCCTGAGGGCCACTCCCCGGGCAGCTGCACTCAGCGATCATGACCCTAGCCAGCTCCCACCCCGTTTCCTCTGGAAAGTGGGTAGGGCCCAGGCCTGGGGCAGTGGTCGACCCTCTGCCCCCCCAGGTGTGCTCGAGAAGCCGCTGGAGAAGAAATCGGGGAGGAACTATGGGCCACCAGGCACCAAGAAGCTGATCTACTTCATCGACGACATGAACATGCCTGAGGTGGACAAGTATGGGACAGTGGCCCCGCACACCCTCATCCGGCAGCACATGGACCACGGGCATTGGTAAGGGGGCTGTGGGGCGGGGCCAAGGGGTACAGGGGGCGGGGCCAAGTGATGGGGGGGCGGAGCTACAGGCCTCCTGTGGGGGACTCTGTGAGCCTGGGCACAGGCAGAGGGCCCCCCCCAGCCAAGGGGCATGGAAGGCGAGGGGTACGGTGCAGTGACAAAGCCACAGAGGGGTCCCCAGGACCTTGGGGCAGACTGGACAGAGCGCGACATGCTTAGGTTTGCGATTTGGAAGGATCCGGACATGCAGTTCATCTTGTCTCTCAAGATGGGCAAGGGGCCCAGGCCATGCCCAGGTGCCAAAGGAGCCCAGGAGCCCGCGGAGGGCTTGGGCTGCCTCTCCCGTCCCTGCACTCCCGAGGGTCAGGGCCAATTCCAGGGTTGCCTTCCCCGCAGAGCAGCAGTGGCTCTCAGAGCACCCGCTGGAGGACCCGCAGGATGCCCCCGACCGTGGGTGCTGCAGGCTGGCCTGTGTGGCCAAGGGGAGTAAGAGGGATGGCGCCTGGGGCGCCAACACAGCCACCCGAGGTGGCCGCCCCACGTGGACCCTGAGCACAACATCTCCGACGAACAGAAGGTGGTGTCGGTGGGGAATCTGAGGGCACCAAGACAGGAGTGGAGAGTCGGAGGAACGTTGGGGCCAGCAGGCTTTCGGGGGGTCACCATGAGGCTGATGAGGGCTCAGCCCTCCCGGCTCCAGGCCCCTTCAAAGCCCTTGAAGGGGCTCCACAAGGTCAAGCACTCCAGGAAACTCTGCTGAGATTATGGCGTTCTGCAGGAGGCCCCAGGGGGCTGCGCATGGGCCACGCCTGGGTCCACGCCTGGGTCCACGCCTGGGTCCACGCCTGGGTCCACGCCTG